CAGTCCCTGATAAGCAATGAAACTATTTTTATAAATTAAATTAACACATGTTTTCACAAACTAAAAATGTCTGTGTAACATTAGCACATGACACTAAAGCTCCATATGAAGCCAATTGTGAGCGTGTGTTTTAACCCTCACCGGCATATGTTGCATACCAGCTGTATGAGCTCAGCAGTCAGGAACAGAACTTTGATAACCTTTACTCTCCACCACTCACACACACACCTGCTATTGTGCTGTGTGTCCGGCCAGTTGAAGATCTGTGTTTACAGTGGATCCCTATGGGACAGCGACGTGGTCGCCTCCAGAACGAGGACAAAACCAGTCAGAAAAACAGCTCAAACAATCTTTGTAAATTAGTTTAAAGGTGTTTTTAAAGTTCTGTTTGCTGCTGTACAAAAGCTAAATGCAGCAGCTGTGACAGGCAGAACCAAACTGTATTTTTTTGTGTTTTCTTTCAGTTTCAGGGGAAAATTCAGGTCAACGCAATTATAAACAAAAATATAAGGACTTTATAAACCATAATAAGTGCTAAAGTCTCTTTAGTTTTACCTTTTAAGGGCACAACAGCCTTTTATTGACCTGCCAATAAACAGAAACCCTCCATTTAACCTGAACTGCACTGCGGTGAATGAATACAAAAGCCAAGCTCCTGCCCTCAGGGACTTTTCCTTCTCCAAAAATACCCTACCACACAGAAGGCTGTTTTTTTCTTTTTCTTTTTTTTTTTCTTTTTCCTTTGGAGTGGAAAACTGCAGTCTTGACCTGCATCAACATGCTATTGTCAAAGTAACTAACACCTTGTATCCTGGCAACCGCTGAAGAGAGAGGAAGTCCAATAGCTCGTGTCACTGCGAGGCCATGTGACTGGAGACTGTTAGTAAACAAGAGCAGCAGAGGGGAAGTAATGTATGACTGAGGGAGCAGCTGGATCCTGTACGGCTCCATCCTGACCAACAACGCCTGTGTGTTGGGTCAGGTTAGGTTACAGACGCATCATCATCCGTCTCTCTTTCATTTCAGTGTTGAATGTTCATAGTATCTTTTCTTTTTATTTTAAGAGATAGATGGATAGATTTAAGATCAGTGAAATAAACATGAAGCTACAGCCAGCAGCGTAGCTAAGCACAAACACTGCAAACAGGAGTAAACAGCTAGCTTGTCCGAATGTAATTACTGTCCACCAGCACCTTTCAAGATCACTAACATGAACATGTTATATCTCATTGGTTTTTACACTTTTTACACATTTCGTGCAAATTTCAAAACAAATTTGATTTAAGTGATGAGCTTTAGAGATGTTAGTAGGCACATTTACTTAAATTCAAGCTGTGTCCCAATTCAGGGGCGGCATCCTTCAGAGGCTGCATTTGTAGACCGATTTCATCACAGCGGCGCGACTAAGCTGTCCCATTTCAAAGGCTCCTTCAAATGCAGCCGAGAAATGCGGCCCTCTATCCCAAGATTCATTGTGTGCCGGTAATGAAAATAATATGGCAGCAAAAGCTCAGTTCAACAGCTAACGGTACAACTGTTCAAGGGCACAAGTTTTTGGGAAAAGTTACATGTTGTAAAGGTTGCTAGGCGACAGCAGCCGCACTTTGTGACGCAATGGTAAGGGCAGGCACAGGTAGGCCAGACCGTCAACCTCCGGTCTACAACGGCTACAAAGGACCACACCTTCGTAGACCGCGTCCTCCGAAGGATGAATCAGGACACAGCTTCAAACCGAGCCAGGCCAGATTCAACCCCTGCTCTCAGAATTTATGCTAAGCCAAGCTAAGCTAACCAGCTGCTGGCTGGAACCTCGCTGCTTCTAGTTTTGGCCAAATGGCAAATCTAATGAGTCATAAGACAGAGATACAGACAGAGAAAAACAGAGTACATGACGTCTGTTGTCTGAGGAGGAGTCTACATTTCACTTTGTCTTGTCCTCATAAATCTCTCTCAGCCACACACACACGCACACACACACACACACACACACACACACGCACACACACACACACACACACACACACACACACACACACACCATTTGCTTGTGTACATGACCAAACCCAGACATGACTAGAAAGAGCAGCATACTGAGGTAAATTAAATCAGAATAGACTTAAATGCAGTCTTGTCATGATGGTTTATTTCCCCAGTAAATCAGCCCTCTCAGATGACGGTCCCAGGTGCTGCTCTGTCATTTTATGAGAACATTTAAGCGACTGTCTCCGCACAACTGAACATTATGTATCCACAGCAGAGTGAGAGTAGCAGACCCATGCAATTGGTGGAAACGTTGCCAAAATATAAACAACAGTTTCATTCCACAATTTTACAAATCCTTCTATGGAGTAAGAAATGGTACAAAACGATGCTGTGATTATTTTCTAAATGTTCTTATTTAGTAAGTGCAACAGCGTTACGATTTATTTCCCACGGTTTTAGCAGATTGCTTTTGATAAGTGTGCTGGGATGAAACTCTCGGAGCAGCAGTTAAATCTGCCTCTTCCTCACTACCATTACTGAGGTGCCCTAGAGCAAGGCATATAACTCCCAACTACTCAAATCAAAGGTCCACCACATCAGACTGAGTCTGTACTGAGCAGCTTTCAGGTGTGAACATGTAACTGTATAGGTGAGGAGCAGGCTGCTCCTGCAACATACTAACGGATATGCAAAGGATACAGTACTATATAGCAAGAGCAAGAGGAAACATCATTTACAGTATCATAGTAGTAGTACCTAGTATGAGAATGTGAATAGAATGTAATTCTGTCAGACAGTCTTTAGGGACCAAAAACATACCAATGTGCAGAGAGTGCTCTTGTTTTTCTACGCAGTGCCCTTAAAAACAACCAAACCCGTCCTGTCAGGTTTGGGGAAGCTACACGCTGAGTATTCCCCCCCTGATGTGCCAAACCAAACATCCAGCCATTTCCATATGGTTTCATTTGACGTTATCTGTCTGAAAACAGATATTTCCACTAAGACATCACGTGCTGAGCAGACCAGGATCATATATTCTTCATTTTTAACCCACAGCACCAGATGGGAAAGGTTTACTGGCATCGACACTGTTTAGAAAATAGTGACCACATTAAAGTTTACTATTGAATCTCAGTTACTTTCCTGCAATTGTTTGATGTTGCACATTATACGTCAGTCACACCCGAAATGGCATCAGGGTAGGCCACAAAAAACAATTGAAGCACAAAATACTTGACACTGGGGACCCCGGTGACGTTACATTAGCTTAACAGAAGGTAACATTTTTTTATTTAGCAAACGGCCACAGTGTGAACCAAGGCAACAAAAACATTTAAAAATGTAAATTTTTCAAATGGAAAAATATGTTTCTGTCTCTGTTCTATAAAAGATTAATGCATCAATCGAACCATGCAAATCTCTCAGCCATCAGTCAACCATACTGCCTCTTCTGTAAACACCATTAAGGAGATTTAGAAGCTGTTAACCCTTAGCCTCTCTGCGGCTTCTTTTGCCCTCCTCTGTCACTTGACTGACTGAACCCTGACACAGAGATGACCTCTGGTAGCCTTGCATGACTCCTCACTCCATCCTCATTTAGACCACTGATGGATGTTGTAACAGATATCGCTTTCATTGTCCCAGCAGGTCTGAGCAGATTCCCGCAGTGGGCCTCAGATCTTCATTGGGGAGAGTTAGGTAAACAAACAACTGAGTTAAGATTATGAGGACTGAATGTTAATTATGTTGCTGAAGCAATCTATAATAGATTTCAATTTTAAAGTAAGTTGATCCAAATGTGGCAACATGTGAAAGTCAGCTTTCCCAGCAGGAAGAGTTGGGACCTAATGAACATTGTGCGATAAGATCTTACTTTTAACAGGCTTTTAAAGCTGTTCTCATTCACATGCTTTTCTGTTTCTGTTGTCAGACGACAGAACAAGTTTGAAATAGTGACTGAAACGTGCCCCATTAACCTCCAATCCATTTCCAAGTTGCTGCTAAAGACTGTGCTGTGATTTTGAATAATTTACTTAAAATAAAATAAAATGATTGCTCAGAGAGAAAGTTACTTACGGCAGTTCTCTTCTAAGTAGCCAAAGCTTGTCTAAAAAGTGGCTAGATTTGTCACTAGATGCTTTTTTGAGCAAAAAGATTCTCTAAATCTAGTGACAGATACGCTGAATTGGCAACGCTGCAGGCCGTAAACGTTCCCTAATAGAAACTGTTTGCACCAATTCATTTTGAAAGAGCAACTGTCAGTGGGGAAACTCCAACTCTGCCACGTGGCATTCCGCTGACCAATGGTAGAACTGTGATCACTCAGTCGGTCAGTCATGGACATTCACAATTATTGCTGGCCTTTATTAATGCCATCCAAAAATGAATAATAATAAAAGTGTAGTACAATTGATCAACGGTGTGCAGGATTCTTTGGTTCCTTCACAGTCAAAACAATCCAGTCTCTGAATGTTTTCTGTATTAAACCACGACCACGAGCTTTCTCTACTCACTACAAATGGATATTGTGCTACAAGAACAGATATTTTGACGGAAACAGAAATATGCTGTCTGTGAACATTTTACTGATACGTTCATTATTAATTATGACTTGCCAAATACATAAACTAACAACACATCTTCATTATGTTAATAGGAAACATAATCTCGTCACAGTTTCCTACAAAGCATTGTAAATTAGTTTCATATAAAGGCAATTTCTAGGACACAGGGTTGGTCAGGATCCAACAGACCTGTCAATGAGTGGTGCACAAGAAATTCATCGTAATCTGCCACTGCGACATTCACAGACCATCTGTGACCAACCATGTCACTAGGGGGCAGGGATCTTGAGCATATTGTCATCTTTAAATAAACAGCAGATTGACAGATTCTGATGTGAAAGACTAATTTAACACAACAAGACTATAATAATCAGTTTGAAATAAAATGAACATCAGTGGGATCACCACAAGAACATTTGCTTCAGTAAGTCCAAGAGACCAGGGGTGACTGACCTCGGCAGACGAGTCCGTCCTGGATGATGGTCTGTTTACAAACGCTGCAGTGCTTGGCCTTCTTGAAAGTCTTCACCCGGAACGTATGGGAGTGAAGAGCCTCCAATTCCTCTGGCTGCAGTGAAGAGAAGAAAAAGAAAAGAGCACACAAGTGGAATGTTAAGTGTTAAAATGCTGTGACCTGATGGGGACTGCAATGAATCCAGGTGGTGCAAGTCATTTTGTTTTATCTTTTAAGTGCAGGTGATCCATAAAAATATATTCTTCAACAGCTTCATTTTATATAATCTGCCATATGCGATATATAAGATTAACGCCTGACCACACATAAATCACATACATCCATATTCAAACTCATCTCAGAAGCGACCCCTTGTCCACAGCACTACAGGCATACTGTATCATAAGAACTTCCAGCTACTGTGCTTAACTCTCTACATTAAAGTCCACCCAGGAAGTGAGGTTGCTGGGGCTTAGGTAAGCAGAAGAAAAAGTAGAAAAAGGAGAACACAGATTAATCTCTGCTGCTTTCCTTCCTTCTTTCTTTCACCCTCCTCCTTCCTCCCCCTCCCAACTTTTGTCCTGTCATCTCCTTTCCCTCCTTGCAGGTGTGTTACACAACTCCTTGGTGAAACTCTCTGACAGTGCTCCCCACCCCTGTTCAACCCCCCTGTGTGTCTGTGTGCAGCCTGCTGTTTTCCCTCTAGTGTTTATACCATCTACCACACAATCCTTTTCCTGTCTGTTTTTGTAAACCAGGCATTCAGCAAGGCTGGACAGCAAACTGAAAAGTCAAGCTTTGACTGTTTCCTGCGGTGTCTTTACAAGAAAACGTCCATCGTGTTTCCATTTGCCCCCTAATGACCGACCGTGGGGAAGTGTGACATCATTCATGTGGTGTATTTGCTCAGCTGCTCCCCAATGCAGCTTTGAGGTTCAGCTCTATGGGGACAGTGGTGCCCTGAGTCCTCCTGTGAGGCAGACAACCTTACCACTTTTTAATATTGTAGTTATTATGTTGTAAAAGTACTGAGCCACAACACTTTTATATTCTATCTAATACAGTGAAACAGCATTTAACATCAATTAACCAACTGAGTCAAAGGAGGGACACGAAGAAAAGAATAAAATACAAATTTTACTGGCCACTTCAGAATATGCCTTTAATTGAGACAGTCCTGTAAATAAACGAGCCCATAGGTCGTCTGTGCAGCGTCATAGCAACGTTATATTGCTAGGCGACATCTAGTGGTCATAGTTATTATAACAGGAGCAAAGGGAAAAGTGCAGTGACGTAGTATGAAGAGAAACAAAGTCCACATCAGGAGGAGGTTGTGGTGGATGGATGAATATGACACAGGAGAGCGGTGTTCGAGTCCCATGTGAAAGAAGCAGTTTATGTTCTTTCTATTATCCATGACCGTTTGACAAAGTTAACCACATTGTTAATTATGTAACCATGACAACAAAGATAATTTGGAAGTACTTATTTTAACAAAAGTCACGATCTTTTCCTAAAGCTAACCACGTAGTTTTTGCGCCTAAACCTAAAGCACCCATGACTGTTATTAAAGTAACAATGACAAGGAAGGTAGGTACGTCGCTGTTGTTATAGTCCGTGTGTTTACTATTGTAACCATGACAAACGAGGTCCGGTACACCTGCCGCCATAGTGGCGTTATTTCAGGAGACACTCCAGTTGTTCAGGTCGGAGGAGTTGTTGCTTTAATTTGACTGTGTAGTTAAAGAATAGACAGAACAATCAACACATAATCAAACAATATGAGAGACAGGCGTACATGCCTTCCAATACATAAACATTTCTAAAATTTCTATTACTTCATATAATAAGTAGGCTTTGCTGGGTGAAGCAGAATGTAGACTTTACTGTATACTACTGTATATACTATACCACTTCCCCATTCACTTGAATCCTATAATCTTTCGTTAATCTGTATTTCTATTGTATTTATCTGTATGTTTTTATATTTGGTTTTCCTTCCCAATGTCAAAATGCAATGAAAATGTCTGAAATTCCATTATGTTTCTGTATGTGTCTGCGACCATGTGTGTGTTTCTCTGTGCCCTGAATGCACATTCAGAGGTTAAAGACAGATAATGGATGTGTTTTCAAGACAGGAAGAGCCAGTTTAAAACTGTGTCTTGCCAGGAGGCTTCCATTAAGTGCATGTGCATGCTGGACAGGGCTGAAAGTGGCCATGTGGTTGGCATACTCAGGGACTTAGCACAGGAATTTTCATATGGGAAGACCATAACATCATCAGGCAAAATCCAGTAGTTCCCTGCTAGTAAGAATTCCCAGACTACAAACCACAATAACCTTACAACCACTAATGACCCCTTTTTTTTTCTTCTCATCAATCCTGAAAGGCAACGTGTTGGAAAAGTGGCTTAGAGTGTGCAATCATAGCACAGAGCTAACACTTAAATGATAAACCAGACTGAGTATCTGTCGGACTGTGCTGTCCTCTCTCCTGTTATTAGCAGAGGGAACCGACTTAGCAGAGGGAAAGTAAAGCCCCTCCTCTTTTTCTGATGATGTCTTATTTCCAGGCTCTGCAGGAACCGGTTAACACATAGACCTTCATATGATTCCATGCATTTTGTTAAAGTCTCCATCTCAGTTAAACAGTTGTCAAAGTCAGAGCATCATGATGACACCAGTATTATCTTGGAACTCTAACTTTTTTAATACCTGCATTACAGGAGGGCATGGAGTTTCAAAGACAGGTGTTTACCAGGCAGGTAATGTCTCACAGAAGACACTATTGAATTATGGGAAGCGTAGGATTGCTGGAATTCCAGTGCACTGCATACACTCAAAAATCACAAAGCATTGTCCAAAGAAACAGATGAACGTTTACACTCACTGCAATACAGTATCATGAGGCAAGGACCTGCATCGGCCATTAAGCACACAGTCCTGGTAGATTACCTAACACCGTGAGCACCATATTTATGCTAACTATAAACTGATTGGCACCATGATAACTTACCAAGGTTGTCGGTATTATAAACTGTTGTGCTATCTGATAAGCTTTCACACCCATGGATTTATTACTCAAACTGGACCTCCTGAATCATATTTCATGATCTCACTGGTAACTAAAACAACACGTCCCCAAAACACAGTTCTTTGCCTGAGATCACGCTGTTTTATTTTCACAAGGAAAAGACAAACTAACTAGATGAAAGGTGGGACCCAGAACAAAGGATAATACAACACTCTTGGATTATTTTATTTGTTAGTAGAAAACCTTTATGTTATCTTATCTAGCCTAGAAGAGTGTTTATAGTATGATAAAAGAAACAGACATAAGGGGTTCCCAGCCAACAGTAATGACATTAAACACCTGGCCATTTCAATTAGGGCGCCTTAAGAATGTACTGTCAGTCTACAGCGGCTCTGTGAGGCAATGCCTATCCCTTTCATGCCTAAATTATGAAACGTCCAGATTTTTTCCTGTTTTGTTATTCTTCATTAGACATGGAAAAAAATATTTTGAATGTTCTTTTTTAGTTAACACGTATTCTTCATAGAGTTTTCGACATGTCCACTCTGGCGGACTGCATATTATATAATTATATAGCCTATTAGAGATTCTCATAATTTGGTGGCTTCACACAATTCATGAGCTCATACGGAGGTTTAGGAACTGAAACACACTGATATTACCTCAGCCTCCATGTGACAGTTCTGTGTTTGTATTTCAGAGCCACATGGCAACAGCAGGACAGCCGAGCCTTCATTCCATCTCCTGGATACGCCTTGCCTACATAACATGATTAGCTTAATCTAGTTAGGCTGAAATAATGACCATGGCTGTGCAGGACGCGCCATGTTGGCAAGGGGGCTCTTGCGGGGAAAGGGGGTGGAGGTCTCTGTCTGGCATCCATACATATGTTATCCAAGGTGCCGCCATGCCAAGGCTCCGGCTGGCACCTGCTGGGTTGGGAAATCTGGATATGGATTTCAGGGGATTGAGCAGGGGTGATAAGTGGGTTTAATGGTACTTTGAGTGTGTGCAGTATTTGTGGATGAGTGTGTGTATCTGTCAGTCTGTCTTTTGGTGTTTCAAGGTGGACTGTTATAATAAATCAAATATTTCTCTATTCTGTCAGCATGACACCAGGCTTTGTGGAAACTGATACCTCCTGGAATGAGACAGTGAGCAGGCGGCTCTGTGGTGACAAAAAAAGAAAAAAAAAAAAATCCTCTGCTTTCACTTCCAGACTGTTAAGGAATCAACTGCCAACATAAAAGTAGTCCATACTGTCAGCAGAATGAACAGGACCCGACCGCAGGCAGGTGTTAGAGGAACACCCCCTTTAATCGCTTTTGTCAAAGCGTCTACTCTCAAACCACATAATCCAAAACAGTCATTAAGTCCAGAGGAATGGACGTTTGAGCTGCGATGAAGTAATCTGTTTTGGATGCAATTACCACAAAGGTATTTGGGGAAGGATGTGAACTAGCAGTGAGCTTTTGTGCCTTATGAAACAAACTGAAGAGAAGATATCAAGAAATCGATATTTATCTATTTATATTAGTTTTCAGTGTGACATGATACACAAAAATACATTCATTAATATAATAAATAATATCATACAACACCCCTGAGTAACCTTAAATAGTTCAAAGTTAAGCAACAAACTGCTACAGGTCATTTCAGAGAAAACAGGCTTTTTTCATGGATTAAGAAATTGGTTCACTTCCCGCTTTCCTGCAGCAATGGAAGTAAATCAAGCCTTGAAAATTGATGGAAAAATTCCTGCACGTACCCCGTGCAAACCCTACGTCTGTGCTCGTGTCAGTGTTAAAACATTATTAGGACAACACTGTACTGCAGGAAGTAGTAAGGAGGTAGTTCTGTATATTTCTATCAGAATGGTGAGAAAAAGGCGAGTAACAAAGGAAGACAGACTGGTCAGTCAGCGGTTCATCCTACAGCCAGATAATGACCCAAAATGAACATTAGAGGAACAGAACCAGACTCCGTCTTCAAAAGAGCAGCACAGTCTCCAGACTTTTACCACATGGAGCTGGTTTGAGATGAACCGAACACAGAGTGAGAGCAAAGCGAACTACAAGTG